GTTCGTTCCCCACCATAGACACCTGCGGTCCAGAGTTTTGCAAATATCTCAGCAACGTTGTGGTTGTATTTCGCTTAGTAACCTGCCATGAAAATTATAGAAGGCAGAAAACAAAACGTTAAAACATTGTGATTTCAACTACAGCCATAGCTTAACTGGGTTCTATGCCGATTTGCGCTCCCCAGATCAACCCCGCTGACGGGTGATTGCTGTGGCAAAAAGATCGATAGAAATAGCTGAGAGACGTGCGAAACAAAGGACCCGCATGGTGTGGTGGTGAACGCGTTACTCCCCGGAAAGGATAATAGCGCGTTCGTTCCCCACCATAGACACCTGCGGTCCAGAGTTTTGCAAATATCTCAGCAACGTTGTGGTTGTATTTCGCTTAGTAACCTGCCATGAAAATTATAGAAGGCAGAAAACAAAACGTTAAAACATTGTGATTTCAACTACAGCCATAGCTTAACTGGGTTCTATGCCGATTTGCGCTCCCCAGATCAACCCCGCTGACGGGTGATTGCTGTGGCAAAAAGATCGATAGAAATAGCTGAGAGACGTGCGAAACAAAGGACCCGCATGGTGTGGTGGTGAACGCGTTACTCCCCGGAAAGGATAATAGCGCGTTCGTTCCCCACCATAGACACCTGCGGTCCAGAGTTTTGCAAATATCTCAGCAACGTTGTGGTTATATAGGACGAGGTTGGAAGTCGCCTCCAACAAATGAGCACCCCGTTTACTCCGTAAGCGACTGGGAAGCTACCTGTCAGTATACCCAGAGCCCACGTTCGGAGCCCTATAAACTATGCGGGTATTAACCGCTAAAGACTGCAAAATAAACGGACCACATTCTCTTGATCGCGAAAGAGCCCCGATACAATAGCGTTTAGTAGAGCGACTACGGATAAGCTGCTGAAATCTCAGATCCACTCAGGGCTGGCTAAATCGCAAAGGTCTAATGTGAGAATCTGTACCTACAATGCACTCTCACTTGCGCATGAGTCCTTGATAGGCGATTTGATCGTGTAGGCAAGAAGATTAACATATAACGTCATCGGTGTCGCCGAAACGAGACGACGCCACGCATTTAACGCCGTTCATGGCACCGAAGAAGAGCCGTTCGTCGGAGCATGCGACAGTACTAGAGTCGGAGGCTTCAGCGTTCTCATCAACACGTGTTTGGTCATAAACATCAAATCATTCAAACAACTAACAACGGATGTTTACGGTTAAAGAGATGTTAATCAATACCGGCTTTGTCAATTTCCGTCGTCTACGAACCAACTATAACTATAACGACTATAACAAACTATAACGAAGGCGAAATTGAAGTATTCTACATTGACTTGGGGAAGTTCTCCAGAGAAGACTGTACATTCTTTAAGGTCGTCATTACAAATTTTAACCCTAAGACTGGACCTGGAGAAACGTCTAAAAAACGCCACATTGGAAAGCATAAATTAGAATATAATGAACAAGATGAGCGGTTGTCCGAGTTTGTCAGAAGACCAAGAGTATTCGTGGTAACTAGCAATTCCAGGAGCTCCACTCTCAACGCTGGACGTGAGAGTCTCCTAAACGAGAGTACCACAACGAAATAGACCACATCATAGTAAATAGAAGGTCTTGCCTAACCGATGCCGCTGTTGTCTTAAAATTCTACACGGGATCACACTATTGTTTCCTTCGTGCAAGATTAAATTTCTCGCGGAAAGGAAAAAAAGCCGCCAAATTCGAAAAACCAAGTCCCAAACACCTAAGCCCACTACAGAGTGGGATTTATTGCGCTCATTATTGGTTGTTTGGAAGATGCCGTTCTTCATGATACCTACGAGAAATACGATCGGTTCATTCATCATATTCACATTTACGTTATGTAAACTGAAAGTTGATAACTTGTCAACAGACCCTATTTATGCTCTTACCCAAACGTCGCGGGAGCCATAGGAATTCGGCAACTCATGTCCAAAATTGCAAAACACGCAGATTGGAAATGAGAGAAGATCTTGAAGGCAAAAGAGCAGCAGTGCTGGTTGAAGTTGCAGAGGGTGGGAAAAGCATTCACAAATTCCATCGAATTCGTTAATTACAACATCAAGATGATTGCACCCCGACGGCGGGACAGAACAGTTACAGCTTCCATAAAAGCAGTGGAGAAAATCGTTCACGACTGCTACTGGGATCTCTTCAACAGCTACGTCCTTCTGTCATCTTACGAAAAAAAGGAGAATGGATTTTTCATCCCAGTGCGTTTTCTTTACGAAACCCAATATGCTGTTTCATTGGTGGACAATCGAGCGACACCAGATCCGGACAGGATAAGATTTGAACACCTTAAAAAACTTTCTCCAGTCTAAATAAACACACTGACTTCGATCTTTTCATGTTATGTACCAGTAAGTGAGGTTCCTATTTAATGGAAGACCAGGAAGACTATGTTACTGCTAAAGAGAGGAGATATCAATTACATCGGCAATTATCGCGCAATCTGCTTACTGTTTGCCGTCTACAAACTTTTCAATCGATTATTCTTAAACGTCTCTACTCAGTCTGTGAAGATTCGCAGTGAGCTATGCAAAAATTCTAGTGGAGAATGATCAGCGTTCTATAACGCCATTAACGTCCATGTAAAGTGACATGTGAAGTGAGAGTAGCATCTCGTCAATATGATTTACTGCTACTCTCAAGAGCGTCATATGAACATTGGAATGGGAAAACATGGCAGTGAAAACCGATGGCCGGTAAATTACACCTTCTTTGGTTTAATAATAACATCGTTCTCATGACAGCAATCATTCAGGCGGGACGAACGTTGACTTTGATAAAGCCTGTGGAAATATTGGTTTCGGTTTAAATCTCGTAAAGACGATGTTCATGAGAAATTGATGGCTTTCGTATGCTCCATTCACATTCAACAGTATGAATATCACCGAATGCTCCTCCTGTGTTTATATAGCTCAGGAAGTCCACATGACGAGTTGCTCCAGAGTTGAGCAAAAGGAAACGAGCGGCTTAGGGAGCTTTCAAGAACATCGAGGTTGTAGTGAACAGAAAAAAAGCATCCCACTGCTTTCCGATCTTTTCTACTCAACTGTTCGTCCTGCATTGACGTGTCCGCCAGAAAATTGGTCGGTGCGTTAACTAAATGAAAGGCTCCTAGGTGTTATAGAATGGGCACTCAAGAGGGCGATACTGGGAGTATCCTGCACAATGGAATTGAGAGAGCTGATCCGAAACTCCACTCTATGTCAACGATCAAAAATCAAAAACGCTGTTCTATATGATAAGACAAGTTAAGTGCATGAGTGATAACAGATGGAGAAGAACCGCTACCGACTGCGTTCCTCGGGATGTGAAAGGCACACCAGAAAGAACACCGAACCAATGGTTACAGTTTTTCATGAATACTGTAAAACAAAGATATGATGTTCAATGAGCCTCTAAATCAATCAGAACTCACTGGACTATTCTTTCTTGCACGCAACATCGAGCTTGAAATAAGAGTTTACTGAGTGAAACTCGAAAAACGCCTAACGTGCGCAAAACCTCGAAATAAGCGTTTTCCCACCGATACGCTCGAATAAATTCTGATGGGCGCATAAAATAGACATAAGCGTTTTCACAAGCAGCACTCATGCAAACCCGCTTTTGATACAGAAGGAAAGCTCTTTGAATAAACATGCGATAATAGAGAAATTACCGCCGCTGGCGTCTCCGCCAGTATAAGCCTCGCCATGATCGTGGACACTTTTGAACAAATAACACGAATCGGAGTTTGACGTTCCGAAAAATGTAGACCAAAGATTTGATTGACCAATCCAGTCATTTGCTTCAATATAATGCAAAGATTAAGGCAAGGTCAAGGTATTCTATGTGGAATTGGGAAATTTCTGCTGTGTAATGACCGTGGATTTTGTAAGGTCATCGTTCTTGATTTCAACAGAGCGTCAAAATTTCCCGAAGTATAAAGAGTTTCATACTAGAATCCGCCGATTAAAATCGAGGAAAGACGATAAGGAGCTGTCTATTTTTATCGCTGCGAACAGAGCTATGCTTAGGCACTCACAAATCCTGAAGCTTCTTTTTCAACCTTGACATAAGAATCTCCCATCAAAGAGTTCACCAAATCGAGTATTATCCTTAACCAGTGTAGTTTTCGCCTCAGTGTGTTATACAAGATGGCACTATCGCCTCTGCACAAAATTTTTCTCATCACAGAAGAGCTATAATGTGGAAAAATCCAACAAACGAAACCTTAAGGCTATTGTAAACAGGGGTTTTTTGGCATCTATATCTAGCTCTTGGAATCATACCGTTGTCGACAGCACCGATGAGGAATTCGATTTGCTCATCTATCACATTTGCCATAGTGCAAAAGAAACCCTAGAATCCGAGATTGACCAGGATACGTTTGTTTTCAGATAGAACCCTCCAGCTCGTATTAAAAAATGGGTATCATGGGGCTTAGGCAACTGCGGACGTGTGGATAAACTTGAAAATCTCGACAACGAAGCAAATAAAGGAGGGTGGATCCTAAGCGGTGTTTGCAACAGTACTGGTTGAATATGTAGAGCAAAAACATTAGCAACGTTTGCCAAGATTTTGTCAATTACAAGATCAAGGCAATTGCTTTCCGAAGCCCAGATAAGATACTTAATGCTAGAATATCCCAGGACTGACTTTCGTTTAACTTCAGTTTTGATTAATAATCCACTATTTTTCTTCAATGTGGAATTACGAGGTTAGTGTTACTGCATTTGTTAACTTTCCCCTTCTTCAGTGGCTGGAAAAATTAAGCTGAGACTGAAAAACTGAAACACTTATGCATTAAGTTTTGTCTGCTGAGATTATCAGAGTGCTTGACTGAATGGGTGGAATATTAACTTGACTCTTCAGAGCTGTAAAGAAAGCGAAACTGCCGAAACGTCAGACAGTATTCTATTGAATAAATCGTGCTGTTAGCAATCCATATTTGCTCATCAAAAAACAGTGCATACTTAGTGCTTCCAGAAAGGCCATGAAGAAAGTAATTCGTGGCTTCCAATTCTATCCTTTCCACTGTTACATCCAATTTTTTTCGAACCGGATCAAAGACAACTAATATTTCATCCGAAGATTCTCCGTTTCGCTAAAGAGTAGTAGAGCACCAGGTCTACACGATTAGACAGGAACAGCTTAGCAACTCACCGCCAGCTTCCACCAGAACGCTTTCCATTTGCTCGATTTTTCGCGTGTTAAATTCGACGTTACAGACCAGGGTAGAATAGCGAAATTGTGGTATTACGAGCACACGAAAGCTTCCATCTTTCACCGCTTCAAGAAAGATTTTCGTATCCGTTGATACGAATAGTCAAGAGCGTTGGGGAACTTAAAACACAACATGGAAGTAGTGAAGAAGACACGGAACAGCTAGTTCGATGCCATAATTTTCGACTCTACTATTTCCGATGGATTAGCGTACAAGTTTTCATAAATGCTACATAGCCAGGATGAAAGTACATTAGAGTTCATCAAATGAGGTACGGAGGAAAATATTCTAGGAGTTCCAATACCTCGCAAACGATGGAGTCCGAATTTCCGATTAACGTTTAAAATTATTGATTAGAGCCTTTACAGTATATTCCACAATGTAGAAAATCATCCGGCCAGGAAGCGTGATACGCCTTAACAACAACTGTTGAAGAAAAGTAGCTACTGATTCGGTTCCACAAGATGTCTTGTTGGTCCAAAAAAAATGTCACCAACTGATAGTCAGATTTTACAAGTGATGGAAAAATAAGGTGCTTCTCAGATTAAAATATCAAGCACAACTCACTAAGCTACATTTGCTGTGGCCGGGAAAAATGAAGAATTTGCTAACACTACCTCGAGACATTTAATGATTAAGAAGACTATAAGTTGTTAGTGAGAGCAACTCAATGGTGGATTCATGTACAGTCTATGTTGCATTAATAATACATGGATGCAATGCCTATTAATGTGATGGCTTATTCACCTTCGCTTCTCTCCTTGCGAAATGAGATTCGGTTGGCCTACCAGCTGTGGCCACAATGGACGTTAACGTGGTGTGGTTCTAAGCAACAAATAAACAATTTGCTACTAACAAATTGCCGCCTAGGTTAAATGGCGGTCGGTTTGAAAAATAAATAAATTGTTGTTAATGTTAGTTAAGAGCCTAGCTGTGCTCACGTCTTCCGCTTTTTCATCGGATTCCTCTTCAGACTCTTCTAATATGACGTCGTTTCCATGCAGAAGACCATTTTCAGTCTGTCCAGAGCCTTCGCCTAAATCATCAGCTAAAATCTATATGGATTAGTTCTGTGTTTCTAACATCTTAATAGATCTCAGTGAAGAAAAAAAGAGACTAAAAACAGAAGGAAATAGGAGAGGTAAGAAAAAATTGTAATGGTATAATGTCACTTTACAGAATTAAAGTTTTAGCGTGCAAGGTAACAAAGATCGCATATTAAAAGAAATTATGTTATAGTACTTAATTTGACATACTGTCGTCTTCGTCTTCCTTGGCGAACTCATCAGAAGTTGGTAAGACATGACTGATTTCGTGAAGAATTGTTGATTCAATGTGCTTCCTGATCACCTGAATTGAAATTACAACATATTCAAATATTCAAGTCCAAAAGATATCTTGCACTACATTGAATGAAAGCTGTCTGATAAATGAAAGCATGAAGAAGGGCATGCTTAGAACTTCAGCGTTGTTAGAGGTGAGATGAAGGACGAAGAGGTAAGACAAGATCACACCACTCCAATGTGCTGTCACATCACAACATCGCACCAGAGACAGATAAGAAACGCATCCAGAACGATACATGGACAATAACCAGTATTGTCCAAAGCGTTAACAGTGCGACGAACCGCAGAATAGCCAGGATACAAAGGTTCAGAAAGTCTGTCATTTCAAAAGATGTTTTAAAATCTTTGAATTTTAAGCATTTCCAGAAAAAATGTCTATCCCGTATAAATGAAGCTCGAGGGTCCGAGTAATGTGGAGTGGAATGCCACTATTTGTCGTCGTCATATTTTTCACTTTCCAAGAGGGAAGACCAAACCATTGTTGGGTACCACGCTCACTGCGTCAACCTAGACTTTTTATTTTAGGATATTTGGCTGCTTTCTATAGTTTTCTTTATCTTCAGTTATCGTTTGTTCGATGTAAACGACACAAAAATGTTTAATACATTCAAAGAACATAGGACAAAGAATGAAGAACGAAGAGCACTGTGATAAATTACGACTGGATAAATGGTGCTGAAGAAGGAAAAGCTCCATTAAAAGATATGCACCAATAACTACGAAAAATTTTTCTTACACGAGACGAGACGGCCAGCTAAAAGTAACCTGTTTAAGTTAAAGTAAGGACAGGGCGTCGCTTTTCTAAAAGAAAAGAGTGAGTGAACAAAGTGATTTGCTCCAATAATTACAACGAAAAAATTACTGTTACCATGTGAACAAAGCTTCTTGGTTGCAACTTGATTTCCTGATTATCGATTGGAAAATTATCCAGAGATCACTTTTAGCAAGGTTCGCGCTCCGGTATAAGAGAAAAGTCATCTAATGTAATCTTTTCGGAGTGAATGATTGTGCGAATTAGAGTGATCTCACCAAAGATTGATCAGGAACTTTTAAAATACTGTAATGATGCAAAAACGACTGCGGATTTTCTCATCATGAAATTTGCAGATGTACTTTGTAATAAATACTTCCTGCTACATCGTTACTGTATATCGCCTCAAATCTTATTTTTTGCCAAGCAATTTACCGCATGAAACTTTTTCTTACATTTATTCCTGATGATTTCAGACAGGTTCAAATGACGCTCTCAAAGCAGGAAACTCGCACCGTATAGCTTCACGAGTTGTATGATGTGCATAAATCAACCATTATAACTCGAAATGTCATCGAAAAAAGACCCAGGGAAGGAATCCTGAATGCTCAGCAGAAGAAGGATTTGGGAGGCTGTGTATCGTGCACATGAGCCTCCAGAACCGAGAATATCGTGGGCACATGACAACAACAACTGACAATGACGATCTAAAGTCGACAATCTCTGCTGCTTATCCAAAAACAACCGAAGAAGTTGCAGAAGAATTAGACATTCACAGTTTACAATGTTCGCGATTTGAAAACCATCGGAAATGTGGTGAAGCTCGATAAAAATGGGATATATGGAATAAACAGGCGGCAGCTAGATAGTAGTCATTAAAAGCGTTGTTCACATCTTTTACAGAAAATAGAGAGCCACTTAATGTTTGCATTATAACCTACGATAAAAACTGGATACTCCAGGATAAACAATAACGTTCAGAACGGTGAACTGACACAAATCACTTAAGCATTTTCCAAAACCTGATTAACGTTCAAAAGTGGTTGTGATGCGTAGAAATTAATTAAATTTTCAGTAGAAAGAATGACGATGCGAAAAGTCTTTAATATTGATAAAACATAAAGTACCTTCGAAACATCCATCAAGAATTGCAAAGAGGATACATAGCATTAACTAACGCGAAAACTCTTATCCTCTTTCAAACACTCGGGCACATATTGGACAACTAACTCTGCTATAGATAACAAGTTAGGCTACGGAACTCTGGTTCTGCTTCATCCATCACACTCTTTAGATCTCTCCGACAGATCCGACTAACACTTTTTCAATGATCGAAAACAACTTCAAAGAAAGGAAGCTTCAACAGTTGAGTCGGTGCTAAACATTCGCCCGAGAAATTCATCGCTTCAACTCCTCTGGAAATTTTGGTCAGAAGAATAAATAAATTTACATCCTGTTTGTTCAGAAGAGATGTGTGCTGTGATAGGTACCACTTTTTTTCAATAAAATTGTGCTTGAGCTTAGTTAGAAGTTATGGACTATAGAGGTGAAGGTTAGTTTAAAATTCGCAGGAACCGCAGTTACTTTTGCATCAAGCAATTTTTTCAAAGGTTGAAATAAGCTGATTACGAACGTAAGAGTAGGATAGAATAGGAATCCCGCATTGTTATCCATGCGTTAAAAGCAGAGCACTCATTAAAAGCATGTGAACTACTCATTCTGGCTGCTATCGAAGCCAGAATTTTTCAGAAGGACAACACTGTTTACCTTTTGACGATAAATCTGACGAGCGCGATGCTTTGCAAATGCTTGATAAATTTTGAAGTATACGAAGAACATAAGTATAGTTGGAATAAAAAAAGAGCCCGTTGCAGAGTATACGGTATAACTTGGAAGATCCAAAAAGGTACACTGTCGTACTGTGTGATTTTTTTCATAGATCAGATTAGGAGTGATGGCTGTCTGAAAAACAAGCTAAAGATTTAACCAGCAGTATAAAACCGGAAAGAATAGAGGAGTAAATACCTGTTTCCAACCTAGGAGTGGTGCAAGTGATATTAGTGCGCTTGAAAGCCACACAGAAAGAATCATCATGCCAGCGGTTCGTTTGTTTCTGTAAAATAACCCTTAACGACAAAACAAAAATTTTAAAAGTTAAGTCTTCTGCATATTGACTATGGAATAATTAGGCATTTCAAAGAATCACTTAAGAAGCAACAATTATAAATTTTAAGAACTACTCTAGAGGGTCAAATACGCTTTAGAAGTACTATCTCATAAGTTCTTCGTAATCTAGCCAAGAAAATTTTTCTGATTTTTTTAAATATATATATACATATATATATGGATATGAATGTACGCATATATATATATACATAAATTCCTAGAAAGATCTCGCAACCGTTTTTAATTTCGCGCCTAGTCAGCACTGCCCACATTGCCGGATAATCTTACAAATCCAGAACATCCTCATTGATGTTTTCAAAAAATAAAGTAAAAAGTAGAAGTGAAATAACTGTGTGGCGGATAGTTAGTTAAACACTAACCAAAAATGACCACTTTCATGTCCTCGGATCTAGCTGGATTCAGGTAGGGGGTGCGCTGCGTCTGCTACGCCGAATTAATAACTTTGGTATAGCTTTATCTGTACTTGTCTTTGAATAAGCAGGTATTTTTCGTGCATAGAAATTTTCTAATGACTCCTACGCACCATTGATACCCTTATGTCTACTCTAGCTATTAAAACACTGTCCATTAATGAGTACATCTACCCTCACATAAGCTCGGAAAGAAAGGTATGGTTTCTCTCTCTCTAAACAAAGTGAAGTATTTTATTTTCTTATTTATACAAAAACTTTGATAACAGATCGCTCAATAAAAGACGAATTGAGAACTCTTGGCAAGCTTAAGCCTATTGGCCATATCCAAAATTAGGAAGCTTTATGGTGCCGAACCGAACTGACAACGCACTCTAGCATCGGAAGCTTGCATTGAAGCATCAATAATAGAATGAAAAAGGACGTCATCGAAAAACTAAGGCGAGAAGACAACGTCATGTGAATGTTATACATGATAATCCCACGTGAACAACACGAGGGAAGTCCCGCTCGTAACAACACGGCGAGTAGTCTTTTTTGATCAACATGAAATTTATTTATATGTCTAATCTTTCAATGTTTTTCATCAATAAGCAGACCCGAGGTTGTTAATATAGAATTTATTACAACACAATTGCTGACGTTTCGGCGGTTTCGCCTTCTTCAGAGTCGATAACTGTCGACCATGTATTACTCTGTGCGGCGGCTATCCACCAATGAACTTAAATACTTACAACAAATAAACGGCTCTGAAGAAGGCGAAACCGCCGAAACGTCAGCAATTGTGTTCTAATAAATTCTATATTAACAACCTCGTGTCTGCTTATTGATGAAAAACATTGAATTATCAGCCACAACCGACTTTCTATTAACATCGGCATTGATCAAGTGATTTTCTTCGTATTTTTGTTGAGCAAACGCGAGGTGTTACCATTCTTTGTTCACGATTAAGCTGACGTTTCGGCGGAAAAACTCTCGAGGCACTCTGGATTAATTCCAGAAATCCGAAAATGAACCACAGGGAAGAATGCCTCATTATCACGCGTGATATAGGGCAGTATATAAAACTGCTTTTCTGATGTGAGGGGCAAATTACACTTCCATGTGATTTCTGTACGGTTGGTCTCTACGTGACATACTTAGTCGAGACCTCATAGAAAGCGGTGAGTGTGCAAAGCTGTGTTCAAAGTGATTGAAATCTTGGTTTGGAGTTTCTTTGTTTGGTTATGGAGGCGTCTGGCCGAGTGGATTGCTATCAACTTGACCTTTCCAGGCTCTGAAGAAGGCGAAATCCGTGAACAAAGAATAGTAACACCTCGCGTTTGCTCAACAAAAATACGAAGAAAATCAATTGAATTATCAATTAATGCCGAGGTTAACAGAAAGTCGGTCTTGGGAATTACTACGTGAAGTGTCTAATCTTTATTAATACTATAGATATCCAACTGAATATAAGGCTATTGTTACATAAAATACGTCCAGACTATGAGGAAGGCGAAATAGCCAAAACGTCAGCCATCGACCAACAACATCAACAGCAACGACAACTTGTACCAACTTTGCATCAACTTAACAAGATCAGTTCATAAAAACACATAGATAAATATGCCGAAGATAAGATGGGCTGGATACGTAATGCGTATGAATGACAACCGATGGAGAAGAGCCATTAGTGACTGGATTCCTCGGGATGTCAAACGCACTGCAAGAAGACCACCGACCCGTTGGTTAGAGTTCTTCACAAAGAGCCTTGAAGAAAGATATGATGCTCGACGACTTCCTAGAGTGAGCAGAACCCACTGGGCTACTCTTGCACGCGACAGGGAAAAATGGATTATTTGCCGGCGCTCGCTCGGGTCACTCGACCGTCAAAAGAGCGATAGGTGACTCGTTTCAGCTATAGTTTTATTCAGATACTGTGTTATTGCATATCATTGGGAAGTACGCTTTATGCACTATCACACTTTAGACTTAATTAGAATACAAATGGCATTTTACAAGATTTTATAGGTTAGAATTTGAGATGTTAAAGGAGCGAATCCGTCAAAATTATATTAACAAATTCAAACTCGATGAGATGGTGATTTCAAGAAAATCGCGGTGGCGAATTCGACTTTAAAGACGAGAAAGATTGCCACGTCCTTCTACCACTGATGACGATGAATCGAAGAATTTCAGGTAAGAGAATACAGGTGCAAATGTTCGATATTTAAGAAGAACTTGTTGTGAGCACTCCAGGGAAGTCGAAAAATCGAAGAAGCTCGACAAAAGGATATTGAAAGAATTCAATGACAATCAACGAAGTCGACGTTTTGTAATGTCGCCATTCCTTCCTCCGCGCAAGAAGAACGGTTCGTTTCTCTACCGTACTGTGACTTCCGGCAAAAAATGAATCCTCCAAGACAACCGGCGACTTACTCACCGGTTGAATCGAGACGAAGCTCCCAAGCATATCCCAAAGCCAAAATTGCGTGCGATCATACGGACCGTTTGACGGCCTACTGATGTTCAATTCATCACAGTTTCCTGAATCTCGGTGATGTTATCACGGCGAAAAAGTAATAAAGGATAAAGCTTAAGCAAGCTTTGTGCATGGATAAAGACCTAAGGGTTGAGAAACGCATTCGACTTAATTAAGCATCTTTAGAGGTAATTGAATGCATATCCGGCCTATACAAATAACTTGCGTTTGTCTACCGTTGTGTGAAGGTGTGGTTGTTATCTCCCCAGACTAGTCTGGTTCCAGCTCGCTAACACCGGAGGGGTGGAAGGCTTGGCGAACCCGAAGCACGGGATCGAACTAACGACCACGAATGTACCGCAGCTCACCTTTAACCACTGTTGTACACGCACTCCACTTCGATAGAAAATCGCTTCCAAAGAGTAGACGAAGGGAACGAGATACGTTAACGCATACGCCCTGCACTGTTCAACAGTAAAGGGCCAATCCATCTCAATGGTAAAACGCGGCTATAACTCCAGAGGTCCTCCTCTTTCTACTAAACCTAGGATCCCCGTTGGAGAGTATCTTAAAGAAATAAAATTTGATTTTTTTGAAGGATCCTGGAAGAATGCTCGCTGTCGATGACATCGATGGGAACTATGACCACCTCAACAAACAACTCCGCAGTACTTCTAAAGAATCCGAGAGGTTGAACGTAACTAGGTGCCGTCAGTCATCAGAATCTCTCGGGTTGATACATGAGCATAAATCTGCACGACCTACTGGCACCGACCAATTTACGTCATGGTGAAACTGCAAGCAAGCCATGAAATAGCACAAGGAGAAAAAATTAACAGTATTCTCAGAAGACGCAGAGGTTGGAAGAAGCATTCGCTACACCACGAAAGAATTCCCCAACTACATGAAGCAGGTGATCGTCTATTGACAGACATTCAGGCGGAAAGAATACATCCAGAAAGGTTTGGGAAAAACAATTCATGGTTTCTATTTAAAAATCACGTCCATTTCACCAGGTCTCAGTCAGCGAGAATATGTCCATCCAACCCTCATCATTCTTGAAGTCCGACATACTATCTCATTGGTGCGATATTTGGTCGTGATAGGGCAGCACCCGATCAATTCGATCAATTGAAGAACTTACTACTGGTCCGCATCAACACACTGGCTTGTTCTTCACACACTAAACTAAAAGTTCTAAATCAAAGCAAAAGCAGCAGAACCGCGACATATGGGAGTTTAGAAGGAAGGTTTGTCTCACTATTATCAACCTTAAACAACTTTCAAGATAGTGAGTAAACAAACGGTCTTGAAAGCTCTGGGAGGTTTTTTGCTTAGTACATGAAGTTCCTTCGTGAGCTATTTAGTAACTTTATAGCGAAATTTCCAACATTCCAGAATAAAAAAGGAAACTTAAAGAAAAGGGCATGACAAGGCCCAAGTGCTCGCGCGAAAATACCTTAGAACTATTTTTGAGAATCTTGTGCGAAAACTGCAATGGGATAAAATGGGAGCGAAAATCGATGGACGGAAACTACCACACATTCACTTTGCTCATTTCGAAGTCGAACACGCTTTGGCGGAACAAGTTTGACGATTTTGATAGCTCTTGCATGTGAATGGCTTCGGTTGAAGCATAAGAAAACGATTGTCATGAAGCACAGATTCTTTTTTAACACTTAATTCGCGCTAAGATGAAATACTGCGAATACTCCACGCATGGCAATCAAAGTCGATATGCTGAAGTGGTGAAGAACAAAATTCCGAAACAACAAGCTTGTTTTCAGGTTTTATACCCTACGATTCCCCCTGCTCTAGCATCACGTGTAATCTATGCCACCTGCAGTCCCGTTGATTGTCGAGTAACTCGAGCGGCCACCAGTAAGCTTTCCATATCTCCCTGTTGCGTGCAAGAGTAGCCCAGTGGGTTCTGCTCGCTCTAGGGACTCGTTGAGCATTATATCTTCGTTCTAGGCTTTTCGTAAAGAACTCTGGCCATAAAGTCGGTGGTCTTCTTGCAGTACGTTTGACATCCCGAGGAATCCAGTCACTGACGGCTCTTGTCCATCGGTTGTCATTCATACGCATTACGTGTCCGGCCTACCGTATTATCGAGTGCTTGGCGCACAGAACGGCATCTTTGATTCTTGATCGCTGACGCAGGTCGAAGCTTCGGATCCCTTTCCTCACTTGTGTGACACAAGATGCTCTTAGCATCGTCCTTTCGACTGCGCGTTCAATAAAGCTGTGTGACCTGTCATCCTGGTTACGCGCGACCAGGTTTCTGACGCATACGTTAGGGCAGGAAGTACCGTTGAGTCGTAAGGGTGGGTACAGAGTCGAATGTTCTTTGTTTTCCTCACTATATCCTCGATGTTCTTGAAAGCTCCTCAAGCCGCTCGTTTCCCTCTACTCAACTCTGGAGCTAAGTCATTCATCATGTTGCCTCTTTTGTTCCTTGAGAGAGCGCAACTAGCTGGGCTGGGCTTAAAGGCGGTAAAGACAATTTAGTTTAGTTTAGTGAAAATCCATTAAGTCGCTTGATGGTCAAGAAAAGAAAAAGCGAAATTAATGATTAATTGCATCAATTAAGGGAAGAGAAGGCGGGAAATAGGTCCATCACATCAGTGTCAACCGAAGGAGATAGTGTTTGAAAATAGATGAATAGGTAATTGATTCATTTCGTACACTAGAAGTCTAAAATTCACTAGAAATAATTGATAGCCGGTGGTTTATAGAATATTAGCATCGTTGAACTTTTATGGCCACTGAAATGATCGTTCTTTGGGTGAAAAGTTCTTTCTGATTCGATTTTCTTTACCATTGCAGTCAAGAAATACCAGTTCTCCAACTGTGAATGCACAGGAATTCAGTAATACTGACAAAAAAATGTAGAAAAAGTAAATGAAGAAAAAATGTATGGAATTGTGCTGATAACTACAGTGTTCACTCTTAAGCTCAACCCTAGTTTAGTACATAGTTTACAAGATGGTCTTCAACAAACTTTCTTTGCACCGCAATATGCAAAAGCATGATCGATTTTCTTTCAATTCGGACTGACTATGGTTTAATCTTAATCATCTCTACCATCACTGAAAAGTCATGGAGGTTCAGGATAATACCTCATACCGTTTGGTCATATAAGCAACGGGGCTTGCGATAGCCCAGTAGCGATCCAAACCAACAATAGATAGGTTCCATATAGAAGCAGTTGAGCAGAGGATATCAGCTAAAAAGCATGTTTGTAGAAACGAGAAATTAAAGCTCAATAGGAATTACTGTTACCGAGCTTTTAACGGCTGAAAATTTTCTTTCGAGAAATTTGTACTAAAAGAGCTTAGAAATCTGTTCCAAAAGATTATGGCATTGACTAAAAATTACTCTAGTGACCAAAATTCTGATTTGGCTTAAAAGATTAAGATTCTTGCCTGACACAAACACTTCACACAGGGTGTCTGGAAATACCCATTCGCCGGCTATGGCATAAACAGATGACAGTGGCAAGACAATCAGTGCAAGACAAAGATCCGAAAACGCGAGATTTCCCACCTGAATTATATCACAAAAACTCGTAATGATAGTAGTTATAACATGGACTGACTGTTCCCCTTGTTTCGAACACTAAAAAGCGAACGTTCAATTTACTTCGTCTCCACGATTTAAGGCTTTAACACTTTTCACTGTTGGAATTACGGAAAACATGTGTGCATTAGGAAAACTCAGAGTTTCTTCCAGCAACATTTCAAACAATGTGGTAATGAATTCTTACTTTGATGAGAAAACAAAAATCGTAAAAATTTCATAGTTTACTGCAACGTCTTTGGTTGGGTTACTAAGGTTATTCAACAAGAATTTGAAGGGTGTAACATAAAACTGCATACATTCATTTCTGTAAATCGTTTTAGTTGACTTACCAGTAAATTCGGTACTGTTTGCAGACGGGGATTCTTATAGAGGACAACGAATACAAGTGTATTCGCAAATATCGTCCAGATCACAAGCAGAAACAGTGCACTCCCCTTAAGGACCTAAACTAACCACTTGATAATTATTGTAACAAGTACGACGCGAAAATCCTACAAGCTCATTGAAAAGCGTTCGAAATTTTTGCTATAAACAATTTAGTTAGAATTTTAACACAATCATATATGGCCCTCAAACCGAGAAGCCCCCTATTTTCTCGCGGTCAAGTGGTGGTAAGTTTGTTTGGAAAAAGCTCTCCCCGGTGACAAAACCCAGAGTAGGCTCCTGGCGAAGAACTGGGGCGCTTATATAAAGCTACCACATGATTTCATGAAGGACCAAACCAATTAACATTGTGTGTCATTCACTAGGAAGATGAAATTCTTCAGTGGCAGCCAAACCCATGTACAAATCCGAAGGCCTTCGTGGATGACGGACGGGCGACAACGGACCAAGTGAAAGGAGTGCTGGGATCCGCACTAATTATGATGTTGGATCATATGGATAACAATGAACTTTGGCATAATCAATGGAACAGCATCCATCGATCCATCGGCAGTGTTGTTTTACTTCACAGCACCGCAGTATCCCAATGTATAATAGTGCTAGGGAATAGCGTTCCCTTCAGTCTCCAATTATGTATTAGTTATTTTCCGTTTAGCATTTTGAGTCGTGTAACACCAACAAACCGCAGAGATATTGTTTTTTTATGGGAAACAACAAACTGATTAGGTACTGTGTCGCCGTATTTATAAACCTTTAGTTAAATGATGATTTAAAACAGGAATTTTAAAAAAGTGACAAGAAGGTACCTGAAAAATCGTGACAGATCCAATACTGCCTATCATCACATAACTCGATTTGGAACTTTTAATAGAAAAGGTCTGAAGAAAAAGTTGTAAAATTGTGGCCATGAAAATTGAGCAAAAGAACAAACAATTCTAAATTAAGGCTAAGGCAGTAATAAGAAAATTTTACTTTAAAATAGTGGAATTGGTAGTGAAAAGCTGAGGTGAAGCGCCAGATTTTCGTCACTTTTCAGTTCTATTACCTGATCTTTCTGTTTTTAGCTCCTTTTGAAGGGTAATAACAAGAAAAGGCGTGAAAATATCTAGAGAAGGGTTACGAACAAGAGAAAGATAAAGTGATGAAGAAAAACAAAATAGTTGGGTATAATGGATAATATTTAACGAGATGTAGGGATTCATTCTTAGCCAAGTGACTTGATTATGCTCTCGAAATTCTTCATCGAATATGTTGTGTGACATACGGAAAAATGTAGAGACGAAATCCGATTATGAAGCACTCAACGCTTGGGTTTCCAGTTATATCAAAACCCCTACCTCATGTGTCACCAAACTATTGAACTAGTGAGCAGCTCATTCATTTTCCTCTTCAGCGATACAATCACACACTCACAAATCCACTCGAATGTTTCGCTTGAAGTGAACAACTGAGGAAAGAAAACTTAGTCTACCTCAAATTAAAGAAGGTTTAAATCCCTACTTTTTGACGCATTGATAATAGC